GCGATAAGCGAGTGTACAATGTGATATGATGCTAGCACGTGCCGGCTACATTAAACTATATTAACAATATAAACATCACTTAAAATGGGAATTAGCAAAAGCACTGCATATATCAAAAAGCTAAATTTGTCCACCATTTGAAGATAAAATTGGAATCTAAATGTACAGTAAGTTTTTTTCAGTAGTTATGTCCAGGGAGAATAAACCAAAGGGAACCAGATTAGGAACATTTAAACCCTACTCTACCACAAGAACCAACCAATAAAGTCACAGTCAGTGCTTTGTCTGGATCTGCTATTAAATTTGAAACTAGGTAATACACTGGTTGGGATTAGGTTTATGGTGCTAATCGCCCAGGACAAGTGTGATCACTACACAATGCCATCCCTAATGTCTTATACACAGTGACAGCTACTCCGTATAGCACTCCAAAAAGTTATCAACTTATCATCTTCACTTATAAACAAGACTTGAAAATTTTGGAATATAAAGTTTGATAACTACATGTGAACTTGAAACCTGGGTACACTTAAGAAAGAAATCACTGAGCAGGGGCCACTGTTAATAAAAGTTAAAACTAATTCAAACTACTGAGCATTTATATAACAATAATTAACAACATTTTATATTATGAGCTTGAGATTTCTTACTGTATGATAGTTAATGAGGATGCAGTTGGAGTCAACTCTCATGCATAGAAATCAGGAGCGAATAATCTTGTAGTAATCTAACAGTCTAGACTTCAAAACTTTAGCTAAATCCCCTACACAGACACCTCGAAAACTTGGCCAAAGAAGCGAACACCATTTTGTCAACAACCGCTGACTGCTAGGCTACTCGCTATCTACATGGACAACTGAATAGACATAGACAGCTGTATAAAGTCCATGTAACTTCAGTGCGTCATGCACTCGAAATAACTAGTAGGCGGAGAAGGAGGATGAAGGGAGAAATTCTACACTGATCAGTTACATGCAGAAATTGTAAAAATTTTGCCCATGTCAATGTTTACATTATCACCAACGTGTGCTCTTCCCAGCCTTGTACAATTGAAGAGATTCCTATGGTTTTAAAGAAAATAACTTGCTTCCTTCATATCTGGGAGTGTCTTAAGTAGAGAGAACATAAAAAATTTACATTTCAATTGAAAGAAAAAATATTCTGAAGTTTGAGAAAGATTTAACAGGCTTTGTTGCCAGTTTGTAGTGTACAAGAAAACAACTGGCTCAAGATATGTATTTTACCCTGGAATACAATTCATAAACACAGTTTTGTTGCAGTTTCACTGAAAAAATGGTGAAGACAAACCAAGGTTCTAAATAAGTTTTGAGTCTGAACTGTTGCCTTGATCTTCACACATGTGAAAAACTGGCATCAACATTGCATCGACAACAGGTAAGTTCCCCTGCAACATCGACGGCTCGTCAAGCATACCCAGCCGGAGCAGGTGTTACAGGTTGCAGCCGTTGACGCATCGACGGCTCGTCAAGCATACCCAGCTGGAGCAGGTGTTACAGGTTGCAGCCCTTGATGCAGCCGTGCAAACTAGATAGATAGATAGACAGATAGACAGACAGACAGACAGAAAGACAGACAGACAGACAGACAGACAGATAGATAGATAGATAGATAGATAG